GGAGCTGGGCTTGCAGACTCACAGACGTGGAGCTGAGCCTCTGAGCTCTCAGCTCAGAGGCCCAGTGGAGTGGGGTGCTCCAGGCTCTTCCTGCAGGAACCTGGGCTTGGGGACCCACAGAGCTGGAGCAGAATGCCTTCAGGTTGGGGCTCGGGGTGGAATGGCATGTCCCTTTGGGCATTTATTTTCGAAGCTGAAAGAACTTTGTAACCTGTCCTAAGAAGCGACTCCCCTCGGATCATTTCTCACTGGCATCACGACTTGTGAACTTCCTCCATAAACCCCTTTACCCACGAACCCTGTCTGTGAGGTCTGTGTAACCTATGGCAACAGAGAGTAGAACCCAGAGAGGTATAACAGAAGACAACACCGGGGGCGGGGTTACAGAGCAATGGATGTGCATGCCCAAAGGTCCGCTTCCACATCCAGTCTTCTACTGATTACACATCGGCCTCATGGGCAGAGTCTGACAAGCAAGAGCAGAGGCCCTCGCGTCTGTTTCCAGGAGACCCCACATGTGTCTGGGATGCATGGCTCTGATTAAGAACCACTGCCTAAAACCTTGCCAAACACCTGGTCTGCAGAAAAACACAGCCTCTCCTCTCCGACATGTAGAGCACTCATAAAAGCTAATCTCTATGAAGCCTTCGCGTATAATTAGAAAGGAGAAGCGATGATGATTTCACCGTAGCCAAACTTGGAACTCCAATAACAACGCCCACTCAGGGCCGCAATGTTAGGAATCTTTTACTCGGCTGTGACGTGAACAGAAAAACCTACCTCTGTGCCTAATGCTTGTTGTATTGTCTTCAAGCTTCTGAAGCTTCTCGGGGCCAAACCTAAGCGATTTTTTCACTGAATGGGACCTTTAAAAAGAGCAGTCTCTGGAGAGAGGCTTGCTAAGTTTTGAATCCAAACTCTGCCATTGAAAACCTGTGATGTGGGGCAAGTTATCACTAGAATATTATAGCAAGTGCTATGATAAATAGCCATCATTATTATAAATGACCATGTGATTAGTAATGCTCATGACAGAGCAATCAGGGCGGGGGGTGGTGATGTCACCTTCACCATCTGCGAGGGCTTTGACTTCTGGAAAGAGGAGCAGGAGTCATTCGGAAAGAGGGACTTAAGTGCGTCAGTTCTGATACAAGTCACCTAAACCTCTTAGGCAGGTGGAGCAGGGCCAGAGCTCTGCTATCCAGGACATACAAACAGTGATGTCGCATGATGCTCCCAACTGCCCCAATAGGTGCAGACGCTCATGTCATTTTTGCCACGTGTAAGTCTCATGAGTTCCTAGGGCATAAAGAGCATCACATACCAGAACTCCAAAGCTGCGGATACTTTTCAAGACAGACGGACAAGACCCGCAGTTAGCAAAGGAGCCAGGAAACCAAAATCGTAACTCTCCATCACCTTTTTCCCCGCCAGCTCCACACACGGCTCCTCCTCAGGGCAGTACAAGACAGCCATTTGCTTTAGGAAGACAGGAGGCAGGAAAAGGTTTGCCAGTGGATGACCCCTCCCCTCGTCTTCTGCTTCTTCATCCACCAGAAGCAGCTACTGCCTCTTCCAGTTATTGTGAGCACATCCTCACAAGAAATTTGCTCTGAGCGATCTTTTCAAAGGTACACATTGTCAACTTCCACGTGCCTGAGGTCACCCCCACCTCCTGGTAAATATAATGGAAGGGGATTGGACCCACAAAGAAATATATTGGCATCTCTTGCCACTGTCCAAAACCATGCAACCCAATTAGAATCAAGAATCCTTGAACAGGAGAAATTCCAGAGAGAACGAAGGAGAAGGTGCACAGGAGAACAAGGTCCAGAAAAACCAAGGCACTGCCGACTCAGAAATCACCACAGCCTTTCATACAGTGTAGCGAAATCAGTCCTGTCCTTTTTGCTTCCATTAATCCAGACTGCTCCCATTTAGATATTAACTTCAGCCAAGTGACAGTGACCATCTCTGAGTTACAGTGCTGAGTACCACATAAGGCTCACCCGTCTTCTCATACTCAAACGGCCTGAACACAAGAAAAGTTCACAACATCTAAGCAGTACAGGAAGATCCCACACGGTGGTAGAGGAGGAGGATATACACACACAAGGCATGAGAAGGAAGGCATCATTACTAGAAAGCTGGGAGACATTGCTGTCACAGCACTTAAGCACAGTCATAGGTAAATGCATATTCTTCCCAAACACAATCGTTTCAGGTGATGTAGGAATTTTCATAGTGATTGGAAACAGTATCAAACAAACCCAATAGACTGTCTCACACAACAATGAAGGAACAGGAACAATCTTGTTTCAGTTGTCTCCCCTTCTGATACTATTCTCACTATCTTTCGCTCACTCCCTCCTTCTTTCCCTCACTCATTGAGCCCTGGTGATGTAGTGGGTTACTGTGGGACTGATAACCTCAAGGTCATCAGTTTGAAACAAGCAGCCACGCCACAGGGGAAACACGAGGCTTGCTGCTCCCATGAAGAGCTACAGTTTCCCACCTGGGAGGGGCCCTCTGCCTGCCCCTGCAGGCCTTAGCCCCTTACCTGAATCTGCCCTCTAGCTCAATGCCACCGTCCTAGAGCCCCTCTCCCAAGCCCTGGACCAAATGGAAACAATAAGGCTACCTTTTGCAACAAAAATTAAGATAGAGTTACAGTCTCAGAAACCCACAGGGAATGTTCTACCCTGCTGTGTGGGGTCCCGTGAGTTGGAATGGACGGCTTTGAGTTTTACACACACACACACACACACACACACACACACACACACGCACATACATATGTGTGTGTCTGTGTGTATAGGTGTATATATGTGTGCATACTTAAGTAAAAAAGTATATATATAAGTACAGAAAATTGGGTAGATTAGTTCACAAGACTCCTTGAAAGGATCAGAAGCAAAATGCTTCCACCTCATACACAGAGACTACATGTAAAATTGCCGTCTTTCATTTTTAAAAAGAAAAAGGCGTTTATCCATTGCATCTTCTAGCACACAAGGACCTAAGAACAAACATCAACTGAGCCGTAGGGAGCAAACGGCTTCCCTTCCCTCATGGAGAGTACCCAGGGAGCAGGGGAAACCCAGCGCTCGTTCCTTCCTGAACTTGGCACTCAGCTGCTGGCCCACGTGAGGCGGGAGCTTCAAGTCCACCTGGGAAGGAAGGCCTGGCAGCCTCGCCCCAGCAGCACAGTCCTCCTGGGACACACACGGCGCTGGGGGTCAGAACCAACTGGGCAGCCACTGGTGTGGTTTGGCTGTGGGTCTTTCGTCCAGCAGTCATTTCTCCGGCTACCCTTACCTCAGCAGTGGGATCACAAGGCACCCCCCCCAGCCCCCACCCCCGAACCTTGTTGGCAAAAGTCACCATCCAAAGGCCTACCTGCAGCACGGGGCTATGGTCAAAATTGTAGGCGCTGGGTCTTCCTTCTAGGGTCGAAAAGGCCACGTTTCCCCCCGTGAGAGGAGAGATGTCACTGAATTCGTCGGTGCACAAGGCCTGCTGCTCATCCTCTCCCGTCCGGATGAAGCCACGGTTTGCCTTCAGGTAGGTGTTCTCGCAGGAGCCGCTGTAGTACTGGTAGGGGACCCAGGGCCCGTCTTCCCGCGTGCGCTTGTAAATGGCAAAGCTCTCCGGGCGGCTGGTGTAGAACTTGAGACGCACGTAGGTGATGTCAAACGCTTTTCCTGTGGGACAAGCATAGCAAAGTCCCTAAGTCAAATGTATGAAGCAAAAGAAACCCCCCACATCACCTGCTCTTTTTGGGAACTGGACAAAGAAAGCAGGTACAAGTGTCCTATGTCTGAGACTACGGCAGTGCCAGCCCAGAGACTGTGACCAAGAGGTTATTCTGAAACTGGAAATAGCATCTCTTCCCACAAAAATGGCCGGTGACACAGCTGGATGCATAAGCTGACTCTTTTATCTTGAAAAATGGCTGCGGATCTTACGGCCCCATTGAAAGAAAATTAAAGCTGCAGAGAAGAAGCACATTTATTTTTACTACTAGTGTTTTGATGGCTCACTTAAGATAAAATTAACAGACCACATCAACAGGCTGATTAGAAAGGAAGAACGAAGGTGTCTGTCATGATTATTTTTGTAATCTGGTCTCTTAATAAAACAGCAACTGCTTTCAAATGAGAAAGGGAAAAAAAGGCTTTCCACATGGGTCTCCTGTGCACTCTGCATTCTCACTGCCTGTAATTTTAACTTCTGGGTGCGGGCAGACATCGTTAGCACGATTCTTCTGCTTATCCACCAGCTGAAGAAAGGAAAAGAAAGGAAGAAACCTGAGGAGGAGGACAGTGGCTGGGAGACCGGGCCAGGAGCAGAACGGGAAAAGAGGAAGAAAAAAAGTTCCTCTAGTGGCTGAACAAAGAGATGGGAACGAGGAAAAAGGAGAAAGGAGGCTTAAGGAGGATTTGTCTACTTGGGTACAAAAGAGAGTATCTGAGACGTGTAAGGTGGGGTGGGGGTGGGGGGCAGGACAGGGAGGAGCCAAGGGCTGGCATCCCAAGGTCCCTGGGTCAGACAGTTCCCTGGTCTTCAGGCTAGGCAAGCTGAGGTTGTCAGCCAGGGAGTCTTCAGGTGAGGATAGGAGACACTGTGGGGCTGTTGATAATCTCCATTCATTCACAGATTGCGTCCATCCATTCTTTGCTGCTTCTATACTGCAGTGGAGACGAGTATGCTCAGTGAGCACTTTTGAGCGGGACTCCACTCAACCCTCTGTTCCGCTCCACACACTGGGGAACCTGGATGTGTTCGACAGAAAGGGTCCTTGTGCTCCCAGAGCATACAGTCCTTTCCCCAGGTGGATTCACCCCACAGGAATATCCACCCTAACCCTCCATCCCTATAACACCCAGGAACACCTGTCCTCTCAGAAGTGCTGCCTGGAATCCCTTTCAAACAAACCAACCAACCAGGGGGCCTGGGCTGACACAGCAGTTATGCTTAGGCCCTCCTCAAGTTCCTTGGCTAGGGGCCCAGCCTCTCACACACCTTCTCAGTGCAGCCAAGGGCTCTCTGCCTGGAGGGGGGGTGGGGGTGTCCACTGGTGTCCAGCTGCTGGATCCAGGTAAGGGAAAAGAGAAAGAAAACCCACCTAAGCTATGTGTCCAGGCGACAGTCTTCCATTTGTGACCCCTTTCTTTCTTTTTTTTGTTTTTGAGTTATGTTCAGCAAAATTGCATTTCTGTGTAATATATTTTTTTAATATTTTGTGCTTTCACATTTTAAAAAAATTTTTATTTTTAAAATTGTTTTATTAGGGGCTCATACAACTCTTATCACAATCCATACATACATCAATTGTATAAAGCACATTTGTACATTCATTGCCCTCATCATTCTCAAAATATTTGCTCTCCACCTAAGGCCCTGGCATCAGCTCCTCATTTCCCCCCTCCCTCCCCACTCCCCCCTCCCTCATGAACCCTTGATAATTTATAAATTATTATTTTGTCATATCTTGCCCTGTCTGGCATCTCCCTTCACCCACTTTGCTGTTGTCCGTCCCCCAGGGAGGAGGTTACATGTACATCCTTGTAATCGGTTCCCCTTTCCAACCCACCATTCCCTCTACCCTCCCAGTATCACCACTTACACCACTGGTCCTGAAGGGATCATCTGCCCCTGGATTCCCTGTGTTTCCAGTTCCTATCTGTACTAGTGTACATCCTCTGGTCTAGCCAGACTTGCAAGGTAGAATTGGGATCGTGATAGGGGGTGGGGGATGGAGGAAGCATTTAGGAACTAGAGGAAAGTTGTATGTTTCATCGTTGCTACATCGCACCCTGACTGGCTCGTCTCATCCCCAAGACCCCTCTGTAAGACTGCTTTCTTAACTTTCCCTCTCACATCATAGAATAGAGATGTAAATGACTGCCCCCTATATACATAACAGAATCCTTGAGTGGGGCAAATAATTAACATGCTCAGGACCAACTGAAAGGTTCAAGGTTCGAGTTAACCCAGAAGCATCTGGGGGGAAATGTCTGATGACCTGCTTCTGGACCACCACCCATTGGAGCCTGGCAGAGCCAGTTCTGCCCTGATGCACATGGGGTCACACCGGTCAAAACCGATGCGATGACACCGTTTGTTTGAAATGTCGGCTGCACACACTCACACACGATCTTAAACACAAAGCCATGTGCATAATTGCAATCCCACATGAAGAAGCCTGTGACAGCGGGAAGTGCATATTGTTTGGGGAGCATGTATGAAGGTCACCAAGTCTACATTTATGAGGCCAAGAAAAGATTCCTAGAGGAAGTGGCACCTAAAGCCAAGACAGGAATAATGCAGAGGAACTACCTAAGCACACAGGCAGTGGTTGAGCAGTCAGACGAACGGCACTGCCGTATGAGAGCTCAGAGGATAAAGCGGTGGGCGCTGCGTGAATCAGTCCAGAGGTGTGGCCAGACCTGAAGGAGAAGCTGGACATGAGGTCAAGAAGCAGCAGAGCCTGCCAGGAGTCGGGCACATGCTACAGAAACTGAGCAAGCACAGGAGGACGCATGCCAGGAAATATAGTCAGGGTTGACGTTTAGGAAGATGTGTCTGGCCGATGTAAAGACTGGGTTGGGAGAGGAAGCCGCCAAGGTAGGGAGATCAGTTTCAAAGACAGGGCAGCGATCCAGGAGAGAGGGCAGTGCACTATATAAGATGGAATAGGAAATGAATGGATTTGAGTGATATTTAGAAGACGGATATCATTATACGTTGACAGCTAATGTGCGGTGAAGAGGAGTAGGAGCCATTGACACAGGGCCTGTTGGCATAGCCTCATGACCAAAGCTTCTCTTTCTTCTTCTATGAGGTGGAAAGAATAAGAGTAACAGCCAGATGTCTAGTTCAAGCAGCCAAAGGAGAGTCCCATTCACTGCTACAGAGGCGCATATGCAGACCTGGAGGCAAAGGCAGGGGATGAGGAGTTCGATTTCAGATACACTAGTTCAGAGGGGGGTCACCCAAGAGGAATGTCCAGTAGGGAGCTGGTGAGAGTAGGCTGAAGATCTGAGAGAGGTTAAACATGTAGAGTTGGAGTTCATTAGCATATAGATGAGTCTTGAGAATTGGGGCTTGGCAGCTAACTGGGCTGGGTGAAAAGAAAAGCTGGCCTTTGAGACTGTACTAAAGAGTACCAACATCGAAGTACGGAGGTCTAGATATGTTCACTCTCACGGACTCCCCCCTTCCTCTTATCTGTCCTTCCTACCCGTTCCACGCTGACAGAATAAGAAGGTAGACACAGGTCTCCTGAGTCTTAGTCCAATGGCACCTACTACATAATCAACAAGAACAGGAAAGATGAGGAAGCACACCAGCCTGTGTGATCACGAGGTGTCGAAGAGATCAGGTATCAGGCAACCAAGAAGAAAAAAATCATATCATTATGAAGGAGGAGGGTGTGGATCTGTAGGCCATCTGTAGTCAACTGGACAGAAGGGTGGCAGGGAGGAGACCAGCCAGTCAGGGTGCAGTATAGCAACAATGAAACATACAACTTTCCTCTAGTTCTTAAATGCTTCCCACACCACCACCCCACCCACCACCATCATGATCCCAGTTCTACCTTACAAATCTGGCTAGACCAGAGGGTGTACACTGGTACAGATAGGAACTGGAAACACAGGGAATCCAGGACAGATGATCCCTTCAGGACCAGTGGTGAGAGTACCGATACCAGGAGGGTGGAGGGAGGGTAGAGTACAAAGGGGGAAAAGATCACAAGGATCTACATATAACCTCCTCCCTGGGAGACAGACAACAGAAAAGTGGGTGAAGGGAGACGTCAGACAGTGTAAGATATGACAAAATAATAATAATTTATAAATTGTAAAGGGTTCACTGGGGTGAGGGGTGAGGAGGGAGGGGGAAAAATAAGGAGCTGATACCAAGGGCTCAGGTACAAAGCAAATGTTTTGAGAATGATGAGGGCAATAAATGCACAAATGTGCTTGACACAAAGTATGTATGTATGGATGGATTGTGATAAGCGTTGTATGAGCCTCCAATAAAATGATTTTTTTTTAAATCAAACAGGAGTCCCTGGAGATGCCAATGGCTAACCTGCTCAGTTTCTAAACAAAAAGGTGTCGGTTCAAAAAACACCCAGAGACACCTCTGGGGAAAGGCCAGGCAATATGCTTCCAAAAAGTTAGCCACTGAAAACCCAATGGAGCCCGCTTCTATTCTGACACTTAAGGGGTCACGACGAGTCAGAGTCCGGTGAACAGCACCTGGTTACAAAAAACAAGAAAACCTGTATTTTTAAGGTAAAGCAGTTACGCCAAACAACTAAGGAAGTAAGCACAACCCTGGAATATGTTTCAGCAAGAGTCCAAGCCGAACATTTCCCAGGTGCATGCGCATGAAGACGAACCACGGAAGCACACAGCCGCTGGGAAATATTTAGCTTCTGAATCTTCTGCCCCTTCCCTTCCCTCCTGCCACATCCCTTCCATAAACAAAAAAGGGAGAGAGAGAGAGAAAAGCTCATGTGCAGATGTCTAGAATGAAGCTCACAAAATTAACTAATACTTCCTGCTCCAAACCTTACAGTAAGTTCCTGCTGGCTGAGGAACTGAGTTCAGGGAAGGGGCCGCCTGAACAATGAGAACCCAGCCTTTGTTCACTGGGGGCCAGGCCAAGGAATGCTGCAGAAGCCTCCTAC